AATAATAATAATAATAATTTTATAATATAACATTTACGGATATCATAAAAATGGGAGTGAGAGACATCTATAACTGAAATCGGCAATCACTTAGCTGCCAACCCAATAGATCGAAATGAAAAAAGAATGGTATTGTTGATTTACTATGAAGTGTACAAGCAATTAAATATCGTCTTTTCTTGTTGCGTGTTTAAAGTCGCACTAGCATCACAGATTATTAGTAACTATGGTAGTGGACCGGTTATTGTGGCGTTTTAATCAAATCTTTTTATTGAGATGTAAACGAAATAAAAGAGTCGACGATACATTTAATATGTGTTGTTCGATAAATATAAAGTTAATCGTGCCTGAAAACAAATCAAAGGCACAGTAAACGCTCATAGTAAACGGCTCCACTACTCTACCTTGCGTTTAAATCGTTGCAAGGTTAATTTTTCAAATGCGGTTACGGAGGTTTACGTTAAAAATTGAATTGTGCACCATGGGACTTGAATATTTTGTCTTTTCTCGACAAAATCTATAGGAATATATAATACATAAAAGAGCAAAAAATCTCCAATCCGCGAAAGTAAAGATGAGCCGCGCGGGCTCTCGTGTGAAGCCCCGTGACCGACTATTTTGTAACAGTTGACGAGGATTAAACAATCTTGAGCCCTCTACTTCCTAGAATTTATTTCGTCTTGCAAGACCCGCCTGTCGTGAAGGCTGTCCTTCGTTATTCCAGTGTTCGAATCTTCGATCCTTGTCGCGTTCGCTCTATCTAGCGAAAGTCGAGGCGTTGAAATCGGTTGGAAAATCGTTGCGTTTCATATGACATTCATCCTGGTTTCCGAACAAATCTTGTAGTGTTCCGCGTCGAATTCTCGAACATTGCGTTTTGTGTCGGGTGGACCACGATCATACGGTCGTTCGTGGTTGCGGACCAAGGGCCTTAGAATCCCGGAATCGCTTCCATTCGTGTTTTACGACCCACGGAAAAGGAGCGACGCCACGTCAAAGTACATATGTTTAATAAAATGCAATCAATAACGAGATCAATAATAACATACAATCGACGATACATCGACAACAAGACAACAAACTTTACATGTTAGTACTATTCATTACAACATCTAACAGGTAAACTAAAGCAGGTAAAGCAGGTATCTAAATTACGTGGATCGATTATGTGCTTACACACTTTAAGTGTAACAAGTCTAGATATTAAAGTCTAGGCGCACAATTTTAAAGGAATTCATTAGATTCGATAGCATTTTTTGATGATTATTTAGAGATTATCAACGACAATATATATTTCCGTGCTGCTCTGCATTATGTTTGCGAAGGTGAAAACGCGGAATGAATAGCACAAAAGATTTCTGATATGAATGGTGCCAGTACCGGGGATGAAAGACTGGTGCGAGGATTGTTCAAACAGTTCTGTATGGCATACAAAATACTACTGAAATGTTGGGAACATCGTATTTGCATTTGACTCTTATTGGAACTGCTGACATTGTGTGTGTTTTTTTAGCCAACTTAACATTTAGAACGATCTTTTCTATTTGAAAATGGTTAACAAATGACTGTCAATGAAATTTTTGGCATCGCGCACTGCGTGGTTAGATAAAACCCAGTACAACGAAAAAAACACGAAAACACTATTCGTGACAAATGTAGAGAATATATTTGACCGGAAAAAGAAAGATTTTTCGTTTGATATTATTTCAAAACCGCTGAAAGTGATATAATAATAAAACAAAAAAAAACATTTTCTGAGAAAGAATAATAAGTATTTTCTTATCAATGCAAAATCAAATACGAAAAAAATATTTTAAACGCAGAAATAGTGAATTGGCGCAGATCAAATGCAGGGTGTCCCAAAAATCTCGCAATCCGGAAACGGTGGATTCCTGAGGTCATTTGAAATAACTTTATCTTTAACGAAAACGCAATCCACGGCTTTGTTTATGAATTATTAACGAAAAACATTAACCAATAAGAGGTGAGCTGGGCGTTCGAAGCAATGAACATGTCACAAAGCGTGAACTTTCCGAATTTTGTTTTCTACGCGGTAGTAATAATTTTAATAAAAACGCTATTTATCTTTATTTTTGAA